TTGGTTCTATGAGTGTTTTAATGAATACAGTTATGTATAGTATGAAGAAGTGGATGTGGAATGTTAAATATGTTAAATGTTCTTTTGATAATTGTTAATGGGTTTGTGATATAACGTGATGTGGGTTTCTGTTGTTGCCATGGGACCAGGATGTACTGGTGTGAATATTGTGGCTGTGGCAGAATTTTAGCAAGGGGGGGATGTAAGGGGACTGTCGCCCCCTTACTAACATTCAGTGGGGGCGCTTTGGTTGGCTGCTCCCAGCACTGAAAGAATGGGGAGAGGCCAATGCGCCAGGTCAGCCTCAGCCTCGGAGACTGATTGACAGGGCGGACAGGCTAATCAGGGAGTCCTGTCCTCCGTGCGAGCTGGAATTGCCTGGGTCAGTCAGCGTGGGGCCGAGCTAAGGAGAGAGCAGGGGCCCACGCTGAGCTGGGGAGCAGAGCCGGGCCAGATCCAGAGGGGACAGAAAAGCAGCCCAGGAAGCAGATCAGAGTTAGGAGCAGAGAAAGAGACGCCGCCCAGGGAGAACAGATCCGGTGCTGGGAGCAGAGCGGCAGCCACAGAGCCAGGTGTGGTGAGCAACTGGGGCCAGCCAAGGGGGGACCTTGGGCAAAGGGCCCAGCACAGAAAGACACCCCAGCCAAGGGCTCTTGCCGGCCAGACTGGGAGGGGGATCTTAACCCAACTGGGGCTGATGCTGGGAAGAAGGGTCCCACCACCCAAACCTGGAGGTGTGTGGCCACCACCATTGCAAGTGTCCAACCCGCAGCATCCCTGCAGCACGGCCAGGGCCCGAGAAGGAGACCTGGGACCTACAAGGAACAGACTGTGAATTGCCCTGATGTCCAGAGACACTGTTTGTGATGTTCCCTGCCTCAAAGCAGGGTGATGTGTTTTCCTTTAACCTTTCCCATTTTCCTTATTCTTTCTTTAAATTAATGGTTAATTAAACAACTTGTATTTGCGTGAAATTGTATGAAATGATCAGTGGGTCAGGGAGGTGTCCAGTGCAGAGAGAGTACCCTGGAGTGGGGACACCCTAGCCCCTGTCCTAGGTGACCACAGCAGGGCTGGGGATTGAGCCCCCCAGGAATCCTGGGCCCAGCCTTGTCGGGGTTTACGAGGACTCTGCCAGACAGGAGAGTGGAAGGGGAGTCCTCCAGGGCAGGGAGGCCTCTGGGTAAAGGAGGTGAGAGTGAGGACTCAGATCCTTTCGCTAGCCCACTTCACCGGGGTAGTGCAGATGCCCGGAAAGTTCCCCACAATAGCGGGAACATTCCTCCGCTTACATTTTGACTCTTCCCAAATCTCAAATAGAGAAGGGAGATGGGGAGCTTCTGTTCTTCCCATCTCATAACACGAGAGCAAGGGCCAGTAAGGGAAGTGAGAAGAGGGGAAATTCAAAACTGAGCCAAGGAAAGGCTGTTTTGTGCAGGAGTCAGTGAGGCCAAGAATTTAGCAAGATTCAAGGAGCGACTGGACATTCCTACGGATGATGAGAACAGCCAGAGTGATCATAGTTAAAGGGCACAGACATTTGGGAAGAGAGAGAAAACCTCGTGCTGTGGGGCTTAAGCCCATCTGAGTATTAGAGACCAAGAAGTGAGGGCAGATGATCCCCCGGCTGCCACTGCAGGGCTCTTCCACAGTCCTCTGCAGCATCTGGCTCTGGCCCGTTGGAGCCGGGATACCAGGCTAGATGGGCCCCAGCTCTGATCCTGTCTGTGCTGTGCAAGTGCCAGCGTGACTTGTGTCTCAGCCTGGCCGGGGCCACGGTTTTACCTCTTCCGAGGCTGAGCTGCTCCCGGGGCAGACTGAACCGTGTAAGAACCGACCGGCTGCATCCTGTCAAGTGCTGCCTCCTCCGCCCCTCGACCCTGCAACACTCGCGGGTTCTCCTGAAAGCAGGAGAACGGCTCCGTGTTTCCAGAACCTGCTTTATTCCGGAAACGACGTACAATCGGGTTCCGCCCCCGAAGGCTTCCCAGAGTCCATGCGGGATGGGAACGGAGCTTCCAGCGTCCTTATCCATCCCGTCCTGGTTCAACTGGGATATTTATAGTGCGTAGCGCCACAGCCATGGTGCCAGGCGCTGTACACACATTCAGCCACAGCACAGCTGCTGCTCCAAAGCGCTTTCCCCAGCTCAGACGCTCTGTCAGCTGGAGAAGGGGCGCCATGCGCTGGGTTCTCGATGGTGCGGCCAGAGCTCTCCCCTCCCTCGGGCACACGGGTGTCCCGCGGCTTCCAAACTCGCTCCGAATTGCAGGGAGCTCTGAGATTGGGTGTCTCTAGGGGCTTAAGTCCATGGGGAAATTGACGGGAACAGCTCCTGTGGAATCGCTCCCCATCCGGACACTCTGGGTCTGGAATAATCAGTGCGCTTCCAAAGAGAACAGCGATCACCATCAATTCCCCCCGGGGACAAGCCCTAGGGATTCTCCGCACGGCTCCCGATACCAGCTATCCCCGGACAATCCCCGGGGACGCTGGCTGAGATACCTGTGGCGCTGATTTCTTCTTGTGCCTAGACCCGCCCCAGGACACTGGCTGGGGTTATCCCACGTGGCCGGGGGCTGGGCGCAGGAACGGCTGGGTGAGGTCTCTGCCAGGGGAAGCGTTTGAACCAATGGGCTCCTGAGTTCTCCCAGTTCGACGGGCCCGGTGCTCTGCCACCCCCAAACGGGGGTGTAAAAGGCAGTTTCCATGGGAACGGCCGGCTAGGACTTGATACAAGCTCTAACTACCGGCTGAACGTCGCAAACAAGGGCCTGGAACGCCCCGGCCACTTCTCCGGTCAGGCCGCCCTGGCTGCCTAAGGGGGCATAATGGCCCCCTTAGGAAACACCCTCCCATCCAGGGGGCTCCCTGTCAGTGTGGGGCTGGAAAAGGCTCTACTCCCAGCAGGGCCGGCTCCAGGCACCAGGAACTCAAGCACATGTTTGGGGCGGCACGTGGTAAGGGGCGGCGGGGGGAGCGTGGCGTGGCATTTCGCGGGGGGGGTGCTCCGGCGGCGCGATGCGGCGCTGGGGGGGCGGGCTCCGGTTGCGCGGGGCTTGGCGAGGGGGAGGCGCGGGCGCGGCGCGTGGAGGGGGAGTTCCGGGCGGCGGCGTCGGCCGGGGACGGGCGTCCGAGCGGCGCGGTGCGTCGGCAGGGGGGCGAGGCGCGGGGCGTCGAGCGCTCGGGGGGGTTCTGGGCGCGCGGCGCTCGGTGGGGGTGC